CTTATTAAAAGCGGGATGTTCCTAGAAAAAAGCTTTGGGCACAGTCGCTCTATGAGACGGCCACGTCATTCGCTGATTTTCAGACTAGCAGTTACTTCCTGGTTCCAAGGTGTGAATACTACACGGCCGATATGTCACGTATCGCTTATCATTTTATCAACTGTTATCACGTGTTGGTATAAAAATAGTGGCTTTGATATTAATCCTCCGTTGCGTCTGTATTACGCGTTTCGAATGTTGATACTTTGTAGATGGCGACACACTGCGAGCGAATAGCGAACTATGTGTGATTCCATGGAAGTGAGTTTGCATTAGTTAAGGCGCGTAGTCCTTTTTTAACTTATCGTTCCGTCCTTTTCGCTCAAACGTTATTTCGAACGGAATAATTCCGTTTATTGCACAACTAATTCAGAATAAGTAAGCGTGGTTGGGGAAATTGCTGTGACGCATTGAAACGATAAATATTACAGACGCTTTGACACTGGTTTTCGTTACGTAACTTCCCCCGAAGAATGCAACATTTACAACAAAGCGTGTTCCACTACATCGAGACTTAGGGGCCAACGTGGTCTTCAACACACGTTTCTAGCTAAAGCACGTGAGTTAGTACTTCGTGATGCAATATTCAGTTGCCATGACAACCATCAGACATGTTAGGTCAGGACAAAACAAAACCAAGCTGTGTGACGTTCCCTGGTAGAGGGGTAAGGATATTCAGCAACATCCCACAGGAGGACTGGAAATTTCCTTGACATAGCAAAAGCTTGGTCTACATTAGGGGAAAAAAATGTAGTTTATAGGTGACGGGACTTTTCTGATCGTGGAATTAACATGCCACATGTCAACCACGTTAGCCGTGTTAACCCGGTTAACACAGTAAAAAAAAATTAAAAATCTTCTGTCTTACCTTCATAGTGGTCTAGCGGTCAGAACACTAGCCTTGTAAGCTTGGGGTCCCGGGTTTAATTCCCGGTGGTGCTCAAATTTATAACTTGTGTTGGGCAAGGCCGTGGTCTAACCAACACCGAGTTTTCCTCCGGGGGCTTCCCCAGTTTCTCCGTGGCATCCCAACAATTACTCCATTCACACACAGAAGAAGGCAATGGCAAACCACTTCTGGATCATCTGCCAAGAACGTATATGAACAGGTCCCAGTCCGAGAAAAGGATGGAAGGATCCTGTTCATATGGACCTGTCGTCAGACAGAACACTAAAAAAAAAGTGCTGATGATGATGATTAACAGTTTGCTGTTTTAAGTTTTACAGTGGACTGTACTCGTGTGATGTAGTTGTTATGAAGTTCTGAAACATGGAGCTTCATCACAGTCATCACAAAATCCCGTTGTTGAATAATATCCTGTGAGATTAGACATGATACTTACTTTCATGACGCTTTAATACAATGTTCTACCCACGTGGACATTCGTTACTGTTAGAACTTTTGACGGTGTGACCTGAATGCGTTACAGAGAATGATGATTTGTCATTTGAAATTTGAGGTGGTTTGTGTCTGTTGACTGTTAATATGCAAAGTCCGATGACATAAAATTGTTTTCTCATGGTTATTGACTAGTACTATGGGTCGGATGCAATGCTGTGAAAATTAGAAGCACTTCAGATAAATCTGTCGTTATACGATTTAAATTATTATCTGTAAATTAATTATTTGCGTCGAAAAGCTCTTCCCTACAGAAAATAAAACTGTTTTTGAGTTTTGTTAAAACTTTCCCATTTTCTAGGACCTGATTTATCCTGTATCTTTTGAATTATGCATATTTCTCTGTGTTTTACTGTTATGTCCTGTGCCCTCGTTTACACAGGCTCTTCCTTTATTTGAAAACACTGTTCTGAATACTGGTTTTTAGCTGAAGTTTAGTTTTGTGTCAAATAATGCTTACTGCTGTTTTGGAAAATACGCCCTTCTGAGTACGAAGGTGGTATGTAGTTACGTAATTAGCCCTAAATTTACTTTGGGAAAATGGTATTCTTTTCACTACAGTTATAAATTGCATTATACTCTTTGGACGTGAAATTAAATACGTAGGTGAGTTGATAATTGTTTAAGACAAGAAGTCGATGTATTTAATAGATTTTGCACGCCTATTTTGAAATTATGTAGATCTGTTTTAAACGAAACTGCACGTTTCACCTAATTCCCACCAAATTTGGTGCAATTCAGTAAAGTGTCGGAAGTAATAATGAAAATAAATGTTATCAAGTACTTTACTCCTAGATCTAAAACTTTTAAAGTTAATTAGGTAAAAATAGTATTAAAATATATTAAAATTGTCCGTCAATCACAATAAAGTAATATAAGATAATTAAATGGTTAAAATATTATCCTTTGTTCCGTATCGAGTACTCGATTTACATATGGAACATTCTCGATATGTTTCGGCTTTCATAGAGCCGTCATCAGGTGTATGTTATAAACTCTTAATTCAATTACTAATTTTTAATTTTCTTATCATTTCTTATCATTTTTAAATAAAATCACAATATGACTCACCTACAATATCTTAGTTAATTAGGTATTAATTTGTCGTTGTTGGTCTTCCTGAAAACGGAGGCAGTGTGTTCTTCCGAAACGTTGGTATGCGCCTACAAGTCCGATATGGGGCTACACCCCCACGGACTACCATGGACATCTTCACCGCCATAAAAATCTCAAATTTCACATTTTTATAAATTTGATAATAACCATCCTTTCCTGTGTGTTGTTTGAGATTCCACTCAGACACAACGTAAGGAACGCAAGCACTAGACTAACTCGATAGCAAAATCCGAAGATTGGATCGTGTGGTATAAAACAATCAGTTTCATTGAAGGGTGCAGCTGACATCTTATACTCACGCCCACAATCGTCTGAGATGAAATTTGCAGCGAATTCCCCATCATCTATATGTTTAAGTGTCTTTTTTCCATTTTTCAATTATTTATAGTGCTGTAATTGTTTAATTTATTTTCTCTACATTTCACACACACAACGAAAACGATTGAGCACCATTGGTTAGAAATTGAGGCATGAGGTCTTGAATGATATATGACGAAATAATTTTTCAAATCATGTTTT